GAAAAAATTTGAAAGGGCCCAATTTCTGAAATTAATTCATAAAACTATTCTGTTACATGAAAGAGCTACTTGGGTTAATTACTGTTAACAAATATTTACCCAAGATAAAATCAAATGAATAAATCATTAAAATGAAATAAATCAAGAATAGAGACATAAATACAAAATGGTTTATACCCTAGGTTTTTTTTTTAAAGAAGAATGAAACACTGGTATCAATATGACATCATTTGAGCAGCATCGACTGAACAGGTGAGCAATATCAGGTCAACTTTTGTCTCTTGTTTTGTAGGATTAGCTCCTGCATGAATAATCTTAAACTGCGAGCATATGGAGCTTGAAAATGCTTTTGAGAGAATATCAGTCATATAAAAGAAGTTTTGCAATTCTACTGTAAACAAATCAGTGTTGCAAACTTCTTAGTTTTCTGATCACAAATTACACTAATAGGAAGTATATGGACATACACTAAAAATTTAAATATGTGATATACACATTTTATAGTACATGATACATATATTTTAATTTATAGTACTAATTTATTATTGAAAGCAGATGTTCCATCCTTATTTATTTCTTACATACCTATTTAATCTTACATGCTTGATCTGGTGCACGATAATGCTGTTTAGTCTGTATCACACATCCAGAACTTATGTGCCTTCTTTGATGTCTGTGCAGTAGATATTTTTAGACACAGTGAATTGAGCTTTTATAAATCCCAGTTCATTTTGAATTTCATTTGTAAAGCAAAAATTATTTGGAAAGTGTAACAAAGAGGTATGTAATAAATACAAAACCACATTCATATTCTGAACTGAATCAGGGAAAAAAAACTCATTTAATAGGTCTTATGATCTGGCTTGAATGCCACAATGTTTCTATATGTTCTTTCTGCCATCTTAAAACAAAACATAATATAAACTGTTTTTAATAACTATTTAATGTTAAGTTTTAAAAAAGTTTAACTGAATAATACTATAATTTAAACAGTGTCCAATGTTGTAGTATTCTCAAATGATGTCCACATGTGTGAAAATAATAAATATACAAACAGATAATCAACAATGAAAATTGTAATTCATCAGTACGATAAGTGATAGTGTCTAATTTATTGCCTTAAATGTTGAACTATCGGAGTCGGTAAACTAGTTATCACAAATCAGATTTAGCCCTTTCCTACAATCGATATATAATTTACATGGACAACACTAAAGTAATATGATTTTAATCTGTTGCATATAAGCATACTTGACCCAGGGAAAAGAGACAGAGAGAAGTGAAAAAAGTAATGACTGTGGCAAAAATCTGAGTACATAAACCAAAATTAATAAAATCACTAAAAAGTAACATTATTTCTTGTTTTATCAATAAGGCAGTTATTAATTAAGTGTGTGATTTGAATTTTTAACTCAGCTTTAACAATTTTTCAGCCACATCGCTATGATGTCTGCTGTGAGACAGTTTATAGTGATGTCTAGTACTGGGGCATCATACTGCAGACATGTAGCATCATGTCCCACCCAGTCACATTATCCTGATAACAGGACAACCAGTCCTAACACTAACCTTTTAATGCTGAGAGCCTAGTGAGGCAGCTATCAGTACCATTTTTGTAAGTCTTTGGTATGATTTTGCTGGGTTTTGAACCCGCGACCTCCTGCATCCAAGGTGGACAATCTAACCACTACACCAACAGAGCGGTTATTAATTAAGAAGAGAAATCTAATTTGAATACTCCTTAATTATATAAAGCATTTCATATATGTTTGTAACAAGTCAAATAAATGAAAATCAACATTCGATGTAAAATCAAATAAAACATAACAAAATAATTGTATTTGCTAGTATATAGAAAGGATTTCAATTCTGAACCATATTCAATATTTGCAAGTAACAGTATTCATTTTCTATAGCATCACAAGAAGCACAATGAATTATCTCACATGATTATAATATAAATCAAGACATGAGGGAGCTCTTTGATACAATTAGTATTTCTTATGTTATAGACTTCCTTAAGGAACTAAACATATATCATAAGTTATAACGTTTATGTTATCATCTTAAACATTTGTATGTGTTATATATATATATATATATATATATATATATATATATATATATATATATATATATATATATACACACATACATACAGTCTCTAGATTTTAATTACCTTTCATATGTTTTCATTGTCATACATTATTTGCAATCCCCATTGATCGGGAAACTTTATTTTTATCACTGTTACCATTTTTATCGTTTTACCTTTAGCAATTTGGCTTCATATTGCTGGCCGATACAGAACCTTTTTACCATTTGTATATAATGAAGGATATAACCTTTTGTATGGCGCTAAATGGTCTCTTTGTGCTGGTGCATAAAAAAAATTAAAAAAATTAAATTCATATAAATCATTATGTAAATCACTACAGTTATTTATAATTTTAGTATGTAGAATTGATAATCTCATGTTACCAATGACAAAATGAGTAGACTCTTGTGTCATCTTACATCTCCGTTTTACTTCTGAAGACAAAATAGTTATTTTTACCTTTCATTGAAGTTGGGAGTGAATTCCAAGCAAGATTAGCCGAGTGTAGGAATTAGTTTATACTTATTTTGAGTTTGGCATTAATTCAAACAGAATTATTCCTATTTCTAAAAATATACCAGTTTGTCTCAAAAATCACCTGTGGTAGAAGGATGGCATGATCAGGAGAAACAATGTGTACAATTTTAAGAAAAGTTCTGTATATCTGCCAAGGTGAATCAAGGTGTTTGTTCATAAATATTACATGAAACACTGCTAGTAAGGTCAGTCTCTGCTTCTAATTGTAGTTTTTCTAATAAAAGGCAGTCTTCAGCCAAACAGCAATCCGATAGAATATCAGCATATTTTAGTAAGGGGCAGATGTATGTTAAACATCTTTTATATAATTTCTTGGCTATTTATATACAAGTATTATCAATTATGTTGTCATTTTTAATGTCTGCTAAAATTCCAACAAGATCTATATTTAAGTGAACAAAAATGAGAACTTATTTTTGAAATTTTGTTTAAGAAAAACTTCTAGTTGGACTCAAATCAACTAACCTCTGCCTTGACCAATTCTCAATCATTTGTAAATCTGTGTTCAGTACATATTCAGTTTCATCAGTATCATTCTATGAATATGAGTTCACATTGCACTGAAGTGGTTGTCGCCTATATCATTAATATATATGTACCATTGGCGACATCATAATGGGATCTAACAGGCTTGCTGTTACTTCAGTCAGCTCAATTAATGTACAGTCGAACCCACTTATCTCGAACTCAGTTACCTTGCCAACCCAATTAAGTCGATGTTTTTGAAGTGGAACTGCCAAATTCTCTTTCTCTTAGCATTTTCTTATCGTTTATGTTATATCGATTCTTTTATGTTGCTGAACCCTGATATCTCAAGCACAAAAAAGGGCCAAATTTGCCAATTAATGTCAGTTATCTTGATCCCTATGACCAAACGCCGGTGATTTTTTTCCCCTTATTGGTCACAAAAATGTCCCATCTGGCGACAGACAATTTGGTTATTTAATTCGTACAAACGTGGCTTTCGGCTGGATAAATAAAAGAGAGAATGGAAGGAAGCTACAAACTTAACCAAGTAATGCAATGGTATCAATCAGGACACAAATGATCCTTTGTTTGTATCAACAACCCTATCTTAGCAGTGCATTGTAACATCATAATCTGTTTATGTTGACATATCGCAGAGTACTGTATGTTTTGACAGTTGGTTGTTACAGACACTTAAACTCAGCAAGAAGAAATAGCAAACAACAAATAAATAACTTTTGCATAATTAAAAATAATTCTTTATTTCTCAAAATACAGGAGTGAAACAATCTCTATATTGGGTTTTAACTTATCCTACAGCAATATATACGGTCCAATAGTGCCAGGTGTTGACTCATGTAAGTTTCATTCATGGGAATGGAGATAATATTTTGCAAGAATATGATCATTTGATTTTTTAATTTACATGTACTTGGTTAACTGCGCATGTGATGAGTTCATGTAGCACGTGATCATGGTCTGTATGGTCGTTCACTCCAATGACAGTTCACTCACTCTTGTTGATCTTGTCGGAAGGATAACATGCTGTAGCTATTCTGTTTATGATACTTTTCAGAGCTGTCAGAGTGAAATGACTCTCGAATTTAATTTTGACACTGGTTAGCTTTTGTAAAAATGAACTACACCCTGCACGTTTTTTGTGTTTTTGTGAGCGATCTTTGTGTTTGCAATGTTGGAGAATATAATAAAGGTTTGTATCAAGAATCGATGGTGGTTTGTACTGTATACTGGTACATCTCTGCTGTTAATTGGTGCACATATGCCTTTTGTTGTTAGCAAACATGTATGTATATTTTTATAGCATGCCGATCGCTATATCAAACAAATCGCGGAAACGCTGTTGTGGAGAAAACATCCAAAAATATGTGCATGTACATTCTCATTTATTAATGCACATCATGTACATAATAAAATTTCAAGCACATGTTATTATACTGACGCCATATTGGTTTTTATTTATCTATTTCATCGGTTATCTCGATGTTTTCTGGCAAACCCCTAGGCCGGCGACATAACCGGGTTTGACTGACTGTATTTTGCATGTTGTTAAGCATCATCATCTTCAAGACATTTTAATTTACAATTGTAATAGTCACTAATGCTGTCACTAAACTGGCTGCAAGATCTGAGAAAGATGTGATGTGATTATAATCTTTAACATAGCTTTTAAAAAATTTTCAGTCATATCGCTACAACGTCTGCAAGTGTGGCAGTTTATAGTGATTCTAGCATTGGGGCATTATGCTGCAGACATGTAGCATGATGTCCCACCCAGTCACATTATCCTGACACTAGGATGACCAGTCCTAACACTAACCTCTTAATGTTGAGTGTCAAGTGAGGCAGCTGTTAGTACCATTTTTGTATGTCCCCTTTATGACTCGACCAGGTATCGAACTCATGACTTCCCGCATCTGAGGCAGACACTCTAACCACTAAGCCACTGGAGCGGTTTTGTGAGAAAGAAAAATAATTTTTATCATATCTTTATGAAAAGCACAACCCTGATAGTTTTTCAGTTTATCAAAGTCAATTTTATTGGGTGAAGACATTATTAAAAAGTGAATAATATCTTAGCAAATAGAGAATAAAAAACATCTAAACAGTTATTGCTTTCAATTACCAAAATAAATGTCATATAGCTTAGTTATCTTATATTTCACTTATAGCTTCTCTTTTTCTGCCAAGAAATGAAACGATATTTGAAGCTTCAAAGTTTTGAAAACAAATGAACATGAGAAATAAGTCTCAGATGTGGAAATCTTTGTTGACTCTAAAAGGAGTCATTATAGTACATGAAAAAATGTGCTGACATAACAAAATCTATCACTCCAAGGTATACATGCCAATTATAAACAGAACAAATTAAAAAGGCCAATATCCCTATTAACCATAACATCACCCAAAATATCTTCAATTTCATAATAAATCTCCCAGACATACACCCAAGACAATTTATAAAATATATTAGTAATTATAAACAAATGCACATTATAATGGACAATTTCTTACAGGTACAGTGGATGGTGCCTTAAGTGCTCAAGACCATGGACATGAAAAGCGAGTGAGCAAATGTCTTATGAAAGCTTTATATAGAAACGGTAATTGGTTTGCTTTATGTCAAAGAGGAATTGTGAGAAGATCAATATATCATTTACAAAATCGATAAACATCTCCCAAATTTCTTTATATAGATTTGAAAGAAAAATGAGTAAAAATGAAAAACAAACCAATAAACAAACAAAAAAGGAATAGACTATTTAAACACACAAGAATTATGCATCCAGTCATTTAACAAAATGGAGCATTAACAATGGACACGTAACTATGACAGCAGTCGCATGTAATGAATGATGTAACACATCTTCCAGTAGAAACAAATTCCTTTCATGGCTCTGAGGCAGCACAAAATTATCTGAAATATTTTGTACTTTCGATATGAAAATGATGAATTCAACGAATTGCTAAACTTAAGAAACAGCATATGGTGGTGGATTGGGAAAAAGAATGAGAAAAAGGAAGAATTTAAAGACATTAAAATTGATGTAAATGTGAACATGAACATAGCTCCCTTTAAATATCTCAACTTACAAAAATTCCTCACAGGGTCATTACAGGAAGTTTTGGTGGGATGACGATTATGACAATGATAATATGTATCAATACCATGCACCGCCTGAACTGGAGAAATGCAATAGATTTTTCACTACTCATCCCACACACTGCACAAAAGTAATTTTATTGACAGATACAGTTATTAGAATCTGTGGACATCTAAAAGATCGAGTCCTGTTTTATTAATATCCGGGCCCATACTTTATGCACAGAATAAATTTAATTCCTTGGGATTTTTTTGTGTGTAACAGGTCAGTGTCAGGCTTTTTGAATGAATATGACACAACCCAAACCCAAGTCTAATCACTTGTAAATAAAAAGATAATGTTATTTGCAATTTCAAACCAAGAAACATAGGTATCATTAAAAACTCCTAATTTGCCTAATTTCCTTAAATTTCCTTAAATTTCCTTAAAATTTGCCTCATGACTCGGTCCTGAGTAAGTCACTCCCCAATGGCTCTTTATTTTCCCATGGATTCCCCGTATGACTCGGTCCTGAGTAAGTCACTCCCCAATGGCTCTTTATTTTCCCATGGATTCCCCGTATGACTCGGTCCTGAGTAAGTCACTCCCCAATGGCTCTTTATTTTTCCATGGATTCCCCGTATGACTCGGTCCTGAGTAAGTCACTCCCCAATGGCTCTTTATTTTCCTATGGATTCCCCATTTTACTCGGTCCTCAGCGAGTCACTCCCCAATGGCTCTTTATTTTCCCATGGATTCCCCGTATGACTCAGTCCTCAGTGATCACTCACATGAATCGGATTTAGAGTTTCACCAACTCAAATGCAAAGATACCTTTAGTCTGGAAGATTATACCAATATCCTTAACCTTTTGATAGGACAAAATATGAGACAAAATATCATACATAAGACATTTCCAGACATTCCCATCTCATGAGTCCAGAAATTATCTTATTTAGGGCATTGGAACTGAAATTAAGGTTAAACTTCCAATCATAACCTTTACAATGATCATGGATAACCTCCAACTTTTTTAGTGTGCATGGTTAAGCTGCTTTGACTATAAAAATGCAGATCATCAACTTTGAGCGGCAGAGATCTTTCTATTTTTTAGAGTCATGAACCTTGCTCTGAAAATGCTTCTTTACAACAGCAAGACATAACACAAATGTAGCCACCACTAATGTTCTGAAAAGAGGCATAGTAACCAAAGGATTTGTGATGCACACAAATATTGAAAAGATCGAAGAAACAAATGTGGACATACTGCCTCTAAACACCATCAGAAGTCAAAGTCTAAGCATTCAAGGTCTAAGCTTCCTTTCTGGAAGTCAACTGGTCTTGAACTGTCATCAACATAGAGTATATGCAGCTAACATTAAATCTGGCAAAAATGAAATGAAAATGATGGGTTAAGCGAAAAAAAAAACCCAAGTCCAACTTTTACCGTCCTGCTCATTCTCAGGCAAAAGAGCCGATGAAAAACCATGTTTCTAACATAAATAGGCATTAGATTAACCGAAAATGTCTTGGAGGTCGATGTATTAGGATGTATTCAGAAATAGCTCTCAAAATGGGTTTCCTACTCGCATTTCAGGCGAAAACTACAAAAACCACCAGGGGTTAATGTTAACAAAGATAAATGAAGCAAAAGTACATAATGTGCCATAACTTATATGTACATTCTGTCAATAACAATGACATGAATTTTCCTCAGATGATCTGTTTGGCATACAAACAGTATTGTAAAATATTTTCATCTGAATATTTCAACCATGGCTAATAAACCTAATGAGCCCAAACAACCTGAAACGAAATCCATTTGGTATTTCAATCTTATTTTAAAATACAATACAGTATTGAGCTCTTCTTAATAAAAATACTTTATAAAAAGCATTAATAATGAATATGTATGAATTCTGACTAAAATTAACATAAATGGTGATAAAATGTTCACATTATATGTCATTTCAGTTTAATGCTTTAATAATAAAATAGTTTTATTAGGACTGAATATAAGATTCTTCATGACAATGAAGATAATCATAATCATATTCTTGCATTTTTACATTTTTTGTTGTTGAAAAGTAACAGTAGCTTTATGGAATTATGTTCTACATAATGATTTGAGGATCTGGTACAGAATCTGAGATAGCCTTGTGGGGCAGAATCCTTCCTCCATTAACATACAGTTCGTCATTTACTGACACATCCTCGCCCAACACTGAAACATTCTCCATTCTTACCTGAAAGAAAGAAATGTTATCTATACTTGATTATCAACTGCAAATAACAACTGCATAATGTGATGGCAGATCAGGGTCTGTATTATTGTTCTATTGATTACTCTGATGTTTACAGCTGGATGTGACTCAACTATATATAACAGCTCTTATTAAAACATATGTTTTCTTAAAAAGTATATATATATATGTTGAGGAAGCAGCATTTTGGAAGAAATCTTATCGGGTGCAAGAAAATCACTGTATAACATATTGCAAGTGCAGTCAATATTCCTTGTTACTGAATAGATGATATGTATTGCTTTTATTGGCACTAAACAATTTTTAATATTTAAAAAGAATACTTTAACAGAGAATCTATAACTCTACACATGTATAATTTACAATATGAATTAGTCCATCTCTTTTATGAAATAGACTCTAACATAAAGACCAGACCAATGAGGTATGCATTACCTTTAAGTAACTAAAGCTAAGTTTACATTTGTGAAATGCAATAACACATGCATATAAAATGCATGAACAAATGCTGCACAAAAATATTCAGGTTTGTCATTTACAAGAAGTTATATACAGTTAAGTAAATGTAATGTACAAGTCAGTTGATTTATTGGAACTATTGTAGGCATCTAAAGTTTGGGAAAGACTAGATCAAGTTTCTATTCAATACAAAACTGCAAAGAATAAGCTACTCAAATAACTTTCTGAGCTATAGTTCTAGTTGTTTTTTTACACTGTGATCAATGACTTTACAATATGAAATGACACATTAAAATGTATAAACTTTGAATGGTCAATCTGATTTACCCATCTTCCTATGACACATTTCCAGCCTATGATGCAGGTTTCAAGCCAGGAATGTGATTTTATGTGAGCACCATTCAGCACTGTACATTTCTTCATGCATACTCCATCCTCTATCACAACATTGGGACCTATCGTTACATTGGGGCCGATTCGACAGTTCTTGCCTATCTGAGCACTTGGATCCTAAGAATGACATGATTACATGGCAGATTAAAATATGGACATCATGTGAGTACAGAACCATGGCACCACAAATTTACCCCTCCACATTATACCCCAGCAACTGATGAATCCCTGCAAGGAATATAACCAGTCTTACTAATCAGTATTGTGTTTTATATATAATTGATTTTACTAATGAGACCATTTTGGTTCATAGTGAAAATGTCATGAAAATTTCTCAAAAGCTAGGATAGTATGCAGTATTATAGTCAGACAAGCCTTAATAAAATAAACCTTGCTAATTGAAAGTGGGCAACACACCATCAGATTAATGAATAAACAAATGGCTGACAGATGGTAGTTGGCAGCTGGAGTTGAATGATTCATCAATTTCCGTATTTAAGGTTTTGAAAAATATAAAAAAAACAACATTAACACAATAATGAAATACTAAATTATCAACTGCCATGCACTTCTCTGGTAATTCTAAATCTGAATAAAAAAAAGAGTTCAGTGAAGGGGCAGGCTCAGTACTGACTGAAAAGAATTTCCATGAATTCGAGATAAGACAATGTCTTTTTGACTACTGAGTACAGGAACTATATACGATATTGTTTTGCAATAAGATCCATTCAGGAGAGAATTTCAAGATGATCA